CAGAAGACACCACGCCAAAGCTTGGGACAAACGGCCATGAAAGCAGGCTGGCCGACCCAGCACATAGGATGGCTGGCCTGCTCTAAAGCCCGCTCGCTCTCCACCGCTTTGTATGTGTTTCCAAGATCTACACCATTGATTTTAAGGTGGTTATAGGTCGGTTTATCCAATGGTAATGGGGGGAGTTAATGTGGATTGATGACATGGTGATTCCTTGCCCCCTACTCCACCTCGGCATATATAAGGATGCCCAGACCTCCCTCCCTAGAGATATCCTTAAACCCTAATTCATATCATAAGGATCAGGGCCAGCTATCAAGATAAGATTAGTCATCTATAGGATCTAGTCTTATAAATAATAGTGAGATAGAGATTGAGGGAAGAGTTTGGAGGAGGTGTCGGTCTATCGGTGCTCTCTCTATGGCTTGTACCTTGGCGGATTCAAGTTCTATCTGAGCTTGCATCTAAGATTTCTCTGGTAATCAACTTCTGATTCAAGTAAGCATCTTGTTTATATTGTTCTTCAGGTTCACGACTCTCTTTTGAGTGCTTTATTCTCTTCCTAGGAGGAGTAGAGTATTAATCGTAAATGTAAGCGTGGTGCTTAGACTTGTAACACTCTGGTGTTAAGCATGCATTTGGCATTGGCATTGCATGAGCACAAGCATCATTGAGCATTCATGAGCATGAGCATGTCAAATTGTATCTTCATTGTTAGCGCAAAAACGTGTCAATGCATCGAGGCACACAGCAAGCCAGAAGGATCTGCTTGATAGAGCAAGGCTGGAGATCTGCTTGGCTTCAACGCAGAACCAGTCGACCCTATGAATTCCTCCAGAGGGCGTGCTAGTCAATTTGACCTGCAATTAACAAGGAGAGAAAGTTTATCAGTAATTTAAGGTGGAACTTGCTGATCTTGCCTAGATAGTTCCAAGTGTGCCACTTCGGAAGCAGCCAATGTTAGCCCACTAGATCTTCAGCACGGAGATATCCGACCACTCACTAATATTGCCGAGCATGCACTAGTGATGCCGACCATGAACTATCATTGAGTCATAGTGTGTGGTTGGACAACGTTAGTCGTGGTCGGCAACGCTGGTGAGTGGTTGACTCACCCATGCCGGTGATCCAATGGGCTAACAGCCAGACAAAAAAATCGATCGAAATAGCCGATATGGGAAGAAAATCGATTGTTAAGGACTGTAACACTTCGCGGGTTGTGATTGATTTTATAACGACAATTATGATGTACCCAGTTTTCATGATTCTTTCCCTTAAACTATTAACATGTATGTGTCAGCGATACATCACTGGCTAAATCAGATTCGATCAATACGTGTTTTTCTAGGAGAATTAAATGGAGCTAGATAAGTGCTTTTAAATTGTTTTCAATCTTATAAAATGCATAACTTGAGCTAGGAAAGTGATAAAATTGTGATTCCAATTTTATTGATCTTGTGTTGACATGCTCTAGCTAAGAAAAATACTAAACTATAGTAAGCATACTTTGAATATGGTCTTCCTATTTAATCTTAAATAATTGCTAGTTCCTAGTGAAAATAAATGGGGTAAAAATACATAACTAATGATCATGCCAATTTTTACATAGTGTTATGGTGCTAGGATGAATATAAAAAAAATATGAAATATATTGTTTGACAGTTTTCACTAGGATAAACTATTTTTGCTAAAATAAGTCTATGCAACTTGTCGTTTTTGTAGAGATGGATATACTTATAAAAATGGCATAAAATTTGTACAGTAGACTTTTAGGATCATATGTAGGCTACTGTAATTTTCTCAAAATTTATTGTGCACTTTTAATATATTTTCCTTATTTCACCTTAGTGTCCAAATAAATTAATAAAGGCTTTTAAATAATTTATTTGGGCTTGACCATCATGTTTTCTAGAGTGTGCATGTTGCCTATGAACTGTTGGTACCATTGGTTGTGCCCAAATTTGATTGCTTGTATGCAGTGAAATATATATGCTCTATAATTCAATTTTAGTGACTGTTTGGACAGTTTCGGTTGTTAAGTAAATTGCATAGGAAAGGTGATGTTTGCTGTGAATATTGTCAATAACAAAGTTGTAGATAACTTAATTATATTGCTTGTGTAAAATTTTCATGAAAATAGACTAAATGGTTTGAGAGTTATAGTTGTTAGAAGTTGGTCTCCCGAAGTGCTTACTCTCTAGAAATTCTGGACAGATCTAGGAAATTGTCTTGTTTGACTAGGATAAAGGTTGAATCAGCTTATGGTGAGTAAATAAAAGTGGTAGGAAATTTCATAAGCTTTCCAGAAAATCTAGGATCATAGGATTTGGATGAGTAGAACTCTAGTTATAATTAAAATATGTAGCGGTTGTTTGTGGTTTAGAAATGGACTTAGTGTGGATTCTTGAAATTTCTAGAGAAGAGATATGCACCTACTCAGTAAATAAGAATTCAACGTTTTATCATCCTAATGACCTAATCTAATAGTCATATTTTAACCATGCACATTATCATGTCTTGCCATCCATGACCCTTATGCATTCATGATTCTCACTTTTTGCATGTGCATGCAATAGGTGCGATGGAAGAAATCACCGTGTTGGAGTATGAGGCCGATCCCCAGGAAGAGCATCAGGAAGTGCAGCAACAGGAGGCCCCAAGAGAAGGCCATCCCGATGGTGAACAGTTGCCCAAGTGTCCAGATCATCAGCCCTCAACCTTTGTGAAAGGCAAGCCCCGGAGCATTCTAAGCCTCCTATGTTTTCAAACTATCAACTTGAGTCCTTTTATGTTGATGCATTAAGTACTAGGAGTTGATTGGAACCATTGGTTGCATATATCTTCCTTGTCCAGATATATATCTTGAATCCTATGTAGGTCTAAGATTGAATATATGCTTAGCCATGCTTAGTAGGTAGAAGTCGGGTGATTACCTGTCACCTGCATGATATAGGCTGATAACTAATCATGGTTGGCTATATTTGCTAGCATGGAAATAACCATGTGTCAATGAATAAAGAAGACCGGGCGGGATCGTGATAGAGAAGTGATAAGGCATGGAGGTCTTGGGTGCCTATCTATCCCCGTCTATGTCGATTAAGGACCAATTCGCTGTACGTCCTCATGTCATGTTGAACGCATGTCTAGCACATAGCTGGGTGGATCCGATGATATGACCGTGAAGCCGAGTAATTCAATTTAGGCCAGGCCTCGATAAGTGGAAGTGCGCACACTAGAGGCAGTAAGGATGTGTGGAGAGCCAATGGCGTGAGTCCAAGGGCAGGTTCGAGTCCAGATCTTCCTAGCAAATTGGTAGAATCTCTAAGGGTACAGCGCTGATCGAACCCACGACTATACCTGAATTGTACCAAAGGTGACCTAAGGCTACCTTAGCATCTCGGTTTTTGTTAGGAATAATTTCCCAGCTGGGTAGGAATCGATTCGAATCGCCATCTCTCTTGGATAGTGAGAAATTGACTGAGCAGCGGCAACATAGAAGCACTAATTGAAACTTGGTGGTTATGATGATTGCTCAAATTACTACACCGGATATGGTTACTAATGCTTGTTTAGCTTGATCAAGTGCTTGCTTTAGTACATGTGCTAATTTAGAGATGCTTAATTGAATAGGGATAACTTGAAGCTAAAGATATTATATATTCAAGTTATGCACTTAAGCTTTTTATGCAAAATGTTGTCAAGCTAGCTGCACCTTTAAAGCCTTGCATACTCCTTGGTGTCTTATTATTTTGGTTTATGATGGGTAAGTCTAGCTGAGTACATTCTCATACTCAGGGTTTATTCCCATTTGTTGCAGATGATGTGATGTACCATGGTTACTGCAAGCATTGCATAACTCCTACAGTTGATAGAGAGTAAGACCAAGGGCATGGTCATTCTATATCATCTGATCTATGTGCTTTTCTTGGAGATGATCTTAAACTGGCTATGCATTTGAACTATCTTGATGTTGTTTCAAAACTATGTTGCTTCCGCTACTTCTAAATTTGGGTTGTAATTACTTTGTTGAAACTCTGATGTATGAGAACTATTTATGAACCTGTTGTAACATGTGACTTGTATGTTGAATCATGTACGATATTGGCTTGTATATTGGTTGATTCGAGATCCTTCATAGTACTCGATGGACTACCGGATTTATATGGGCTCAAGTATGACGGTTTGACTACCTCAGTGGTTGCTATTGTACTTGTGCTCTTATGAATTGGACGGTTCTATTATAAGACTTAGGTTAATCGTGGATGCACCCTGCATTTCGGAAGGTGGTAGATCGCGTGAGTGACATAAGTTCTATATAGCCTATACTATATACATTTGTTGATCATTTGTAGTCCACCTCCCATCTATAGGCACATGTTGGATACGGTTGCGAAGGAAAGCATCCTCTCCTAGTGTCTTTTCCTAGTAATGTCCCTAGTTGAATAGTAGAAGACATAAGCTTACCCAAGTCAGAACTAGAGAACTTTAGTTATCCTCTCTATGCTCCTATTTATCCTAACATTATTGCTACCCTTAGTTAAGTTAGACCGTAGTTAGTCTCACACATTTCCCTATGGATACGATACTTGGAATACCTCTGGGTAAAAGCTATAGTGGTATCCATGCGCTTGTGGATTTATCTGTATACGTTAAATATACCAACAGTTGCTTGTGTGAAACTTGCAATGTGAACTAAGTCTACTGAAAAAATGTGATTTTTATTACTAAAGCATTAATGAATTTGCTTATATTCTTACATTTTCACTCCAGCCATTAACAAACCAGCAACAATATATATGTAATAATATATAGATAGATGCATTTCTAGCCAAAGTATGTGACAAAGTTTGCATCACAGAGTTTTACTACTTTATCACAGTAATTACATCATCACCAAAAGTACGTCATCACAGAGTTTACATTCACATAGTTTCATCAGCAAAAGTTAACACAGCATCACATGATCATTAGTTGTTCGCCAGCGGTGAAGGCATGGCGCCCTACAACTTGCTCTGGAGGTCATGCATATTCTGAACCACGGACGCCAGTTGGTCACCAAGGTCATCTAGGTTTTTCTTGAGACACTTCTCCTTCTCTTTGGTCTCAGCCTTTTCTTTCTTGAGTTCGTCAACACTCCACTGAAGATCGCCTATGCTCTTCATGATGGGTTTTAGAACTACTGCCTGCAGGGCCTCGTGCATGGTACTTAGAGGGAGCTAATAATATTGAACCTATATGCACAGAAACAGTTATAGGAACATATATGAAAATCCAGCATAAATCTAGATACTGTGACAAAAAACCTACATATAAGTTTCATTTGCATTCATATAAGTTTCATTATCCAGCATACATATCATAATCATATAAGTTTTATATAATCAATTATAGGCTACAAAATCCATGACCTTGTGAACACCAGAATCATAGCAAATTAGAAAAATAAAACATCTAGCTGCTGCTAATAATGCACATAAAGACTTAGAGCTACCCCAAAGAGATGAAACCCAATCTACTCAAATCACAATGCTGAAATATTGAAGTGGCACCATCAAAATTATTCACAAGATTAAAATCATTGATCTATGATAAACATCTAGATAAAGCAATCTACTCAAATCACAATGCTGCTGCAAAATACAATATATGATAGTTTACATTGCTTATATAAAAACTTGAGTTGCATCTGCATTTATTCTACACTAAGATGTTGTCTCTGCTCCATCTGGGTCCGGAATGAGAGAATGGCATGAGCCAAATTATTTTAGCAATAAACTCATCCAATTCAGAAGCTGCCAACAAAACTGTCATGAAATTAAGAAAGAAAATCTACATATAAGCAGTTGTAATCTAAAGAGTGTGCATTACCTGGCCATGGGTGGAGCTTGAAACTCCAACTTCACCGTAGTTGACACTGCCGTGGAGCCATAAACAGCATGTCCTGGCTCCTCCCTCGAAGCAGTGGTCGCACATCTTGGTGGCCACTGCCCTCGGCGCCACGGCCGAGGAAGAAGGCACTGCCACCACTGCCACTTGCGTGGCCTTCCTCACCTTCCTCCTTGCCTCCACGAGTTCTCCTTCCTACTCACTATCCGAGTCCACTGCGAGCACCACTGCCTTCTTCTTGAACACTGCCCTTGATGCCACCGCCAAGGACAAGGGCGCCACCATCGAGGAAGAGGGCATGTCTTGCCTAGCCTTCTTCTTCACCGCCACCAGCAGCTTCTCCTTCATCAATGCTGCTAGGTGCTTCTCCTTCCTAGTGATGATGGCGGACTTCTTCTTCAACCCCGGCGAGGCCACTGGGACGGCCTTCTTCTTGAAGGCCAGCATCTTCTCGAACCCCAGCGGGGGGCTCACCTCCTCCTTCACCGCTATCGAGAATAAGGAACGGTGGGCGAACCTCCCGTCTTCTCGTCCCTCAGGTTGTGCCGCCTCTCTAGCCTCGTCATCTTCGACGGCGGTGGCTACGGGTACAGCTACGGTAGCGGTGGGGAAGGCGAGAGAGGAGTGGAGAGATGAGAGGCCAGAGTGAATGCGAGGGCTGCGCGCGTGGCGGGGAAGGCGAGATAGGAGTGGAGAGACAAGAGGTCAGAGTGAATGTAAGTGAAGGAGTGGCAGTTCCAATGCTTTGAACTGCCACTCCTCTCTCTATTGGCCCTTTGGATGCGTCGATGTCAACCAGGTGTTAACATCGATGTGTATCTAAGGCCGTTTATTGATGATTTCAAGGAACTCTAGAAAGAAGAGGGTATTAGGGTGTACGATGGGTTCAGGAAAGAACATTTCCACCTACATGACATGGTCTTCACCATTATCACTGATATTCCAGGACATAGTAGCGTGTCTGGGCAGAGCAAAGGAGAAAAAAATACTTTCATTGCTTAGATGACACGGAGACTGTTTGGCTTAATAATTCAAAAAAGAGGGCCTATGTAAGGCACCGACGTTTCCATCCTAAGTCTCATTCGTACCGGAAGATGAAACGTTAGTTTGATAGCACTAGGGAGATAGGATCTACACCAAGGCATTTTAGCGGGCAACGGGTATATGACCAGGTGGTAGAGGATACCACGCCTAAAGTTGACCCAAAGAGCACTGTCCTTGGAAAGTGAAAGCGTAGTGCAAAAGCAAAGAGTGCCGATAAGAAGAGGTGGAAGAAAATGTCAATCATGTGGGAATTGCCTTACTAGAAAGACATAGCAGTCCGCCACAGCATCGATCTCATGCACGTGAAAAAGAATGTATGTGGGAGTTTGCTTGGGACACTCATAAATGACAAATGGAAAACCAAGGACCATGCAAAAGCAAGAGTTGACCTAGAGGAATTGGACATAAGGCCCGAGCTCCGTCCTGACGGTACTAGTGCCCAGCCACCTCTATCTGCCATAAACCTAATCCGAGAAGAGAAGCAGGAATTGTGCGACTTCTTTTGTAGTGTCAAACTTCCCTCTAGTTATGTAGCCAACATCTGAAAGCTTGTGCCTGCAAGTGAAAACAAGATACTTCCCATGAAGTCTCATGATTGCAATGTCATGCTCACAACGATGCTTGCAGTTGGTATCTAGAACATATTGCCAGAAAAAACCCGAATGACAATCATGAGCCTCTGCTTTTCTATTGCTACAGATGCGTCTTGGCCACACGTGTCTATAGTAAGAAATTTCCTTTTGCCCGCCCTTTTTTCCAAATTTCTTAGCCTTCCCGCATTCTCCAAGTCCATTCACATCCAACTTCCCGCATTCTAGGGTTCCGCTGTCCGCTCCACGCCGCCTTCACCCCATCCGCGTGCCTCCGCCGTCTTCACCCCCGTCCGCTCCCCGCATTCTAGGGTTCCACCGCTGCCGCATCCGCCCATCGTCCGCCCGCCTTCCTCTTCGACGCTGTTCACCGAGGTTCGACAGCCACCGTCTCTGAGGCTATCCTCCGCAATTGTATCCAACTCCATCCAGCAGGGCATGACTCACCGTCTCCAAAGTGGCTGGGCGTGGCAGTGGCCATTCTAGAGGCACTGTGAGTGGAGCAGAGGCCGCAGGTCGACAGCATCTTCCGCTTCCAGCAACCCCTTCATTGTCTTCGATAGTGCTAGCCTCCTCCTTTGACCGCACCTGATGAGTTCTAACATGGATTTTCTTCAGTTAGATGTACCAGCTTAGTGATTTTGCAATAGCCAAGGATTTGTAGTAGGAAAGGCTATTATCAAGTCTCTGTTTGTTTCTGGTTGATGGATTTTTTATGGATAGTTGTCAGGTATAGTAGATAGACAAGGAGCAAAAGATGGATTTTTGAAAATTAGAATGTTTGGTTATGCTTGTATGATGGAACCTGGTAGTTTTGTTCTGGTTGAGTGGATTGAGATGTTCTTGTGCCTATGACATGAATCAAATACTAGACTAGTAGCATTGGTTTCTAGAGCCTGAAGTTGTACATTAATTTTAGTCTTATCATGTAGATGTTGTACAATGGGTTGTAAATATTGATCTGGACTATTAGCTTTGCTATATTACTGAACACTTGCTCATACTCTACTTATGCTTGTTGATCAATATAAACTCTTGTGGGTCATACTTAGCTAAGAATTTTAGTTAGTAATACATAATGTTGTATTTTCTGTTACTTCCTAAACTATTGATCTGGTTGTTGATGATCTAGTTGAGTGGTTTGAGATGTTCTACAGCCTAAACTTGTAGATGTATTTTAGTCTACTCTGAATTTTCTATTCTGAATTGTACATCATCTCATGACATTTTTGCTATTGTTTTCACTGCATATGTGTCAAACATGGCTCTATGGTGCTATGAAAGGTGTTTGCATTGCTAGCTATTGATTGTTGTTACAGTCCCTATCAGAATGGTAAGACGTAGCTTTATGATATACTAACACTAGTTACTATTAGATGTCAGTGCTCTATCATGTTCACTAACAACCTTGCTCACCTTTGTTTGATAGGCGTCTGATCACGCATCTACGGCAACATCAGCAGGAGAAGATGAAGAACCAACTAACAGTGGAGAGGAGGGACATAGTAGAGATGCTAATGAACAGGAGGAAGAGAGAGATGCATATGCAAGGGACCAAGAGGGAGATGGTACTGCGAAGGATGAAGACAGATATGCTAATGTAGAGGCACACCAATCTAAATCTCCTCGTAAACCCTGGACAAGAAAGAGGACAGTCACTCGGTGGCTAGATGACAAACTAACCATCATGGGGCTCACTCCGACTGGGTTTCCCATAGAGAAGAGGGCCCAGATAAGAATGAGGAGGCTGGTTGGTCTGATTGCTAGACAAAGGATCTCCTTGGTCCTGTCTTCATTCAATTCACTAAGTGAACAAGACAAGATCACTATATTTGATGAGTGAGTCTAGCTTTGGTTGGAGTTTCTAGAAGAATTGAAGGCTACAGTGTGTAAGAAGATAATGCAGATGGTAGCCAAGAGTTGGAGAACCCACAAAAGCGACCTTACACGCAATTTCATCAACAAAGGGTTGGATGCCACGGTGAAGCACACATACATTCCGAAAGAAGATTGGACATCATTTGTGAAACTGAAGGACAGTGAAGAAGTAAAGGAAGCAAGTGAGAAGTACAAGAAGCTTCAGGAGAGGAACAAGAATGACCACTGCCTGGGGATAGGAGGGTATGAAGGGAAAGCCGCAAAGTGGGAGCAGGAGGACAGGGAGTTAGCTGCCCAAGGCATCAGTAATCCTTGGGGCCAGTTTTTAGGTGGCTGCCCAAGGAATTTTCTGCATGCACAGAGTACTTTGGTTAGGTTAGAAGGAAGTGTTGTGATTCATTGGTTGAAAGATTCAGCTGAAAGTGTATCTAAGCTAATTTTAGAGAAGCAAGGAACCCTTGAGTCTTTAGGGCTCTCTTTGGTTAGGGAAAAGGATGTGCTCACAGAGGTCTTGGGCAGCCTAGAATAGATAGGCCATGTGGGTGGTGTGTCTAGTTATAGTGGTTGGAAGCATTGGCCGGACTATGCTGGCATGTACAGAAAGAGGAAGCAATCAACAAGTGATGTGGATGTGGAAGCCATCAAAGAAGTTAAAAGCCAAGTGATAGGAGAAATTACCAAGAAGGTCACAAATGATATCATGGCAATGCTATGTGACCAAGGAGAGCATTTGAGGTCACCTTCCAACACCCCTAGCCCTGAAGGTGGTCGTAAGAGCAGCTGTGCCTTAGCCTTGGATGCAG